AACTTGATGGAAGTATTTCAGATTGCATGGGAAAACCCCACACTGTACCCCAGAAGTGCATTAATGTACATAGTTACCATTCAATTAAAAAAAAAAAGGCAGGCAACTTTTAGAAGAAGAAATAGAACTGCTAGGGAAATGCATGCAATGAGAAATACATAAATTAAAATTTAAAAAACAGTGTGAGGCTCGGTGCTTATAGCTCAAGCAGCTAAGGCACCAGAACTGGGGGTTTCGAATCCAGCCTGGGCCCGCCAAACAATAATGACAACTCTAACCAAAAATAACCAGGCATTGTGGTGGATGCCTGTAGTCCCAGATACTTGGGAAGCTGAGGCAAGAGAATCACTTGAGGCCAAGAGTTTAAGGTTGCTATGAGCTGCGACATCACCACATTCTACAGAGGGAGACATAGTGAGATTCTGTCTCAAAAAAAAAAAACTGTGGTAGTTTCTCTTCTGTTCTGCTTCCACGAGGAGTGCCCTGTACTTCAAAGTAAGTGAAAGCAGTTGCTTCAAAAGAACCATTTGTTGAGATCGGAGGTAGATCTCCTAGGCTACAGGAATGGGAAGAGCCAGGTGAAGGCTTATGAAGAGTTCTTGGTAGAGCCTTCGGATACCCCCAAGGGTTTGGAGACCAGTGCTGGCTTCCAATCTGGAGGATTCTGGAGGAGGGACAGGGATAGGCAGAAGCAGATGGCCAGACACAGAGAGAGATAAAAGTACATCCTTTTGACTGGGCAAGAATATATGAGACACCCCTAGGCCAAGTGAATGCCCACAGAAAAAGAAGGCTCAAGGTGTTGTGATAGCCCTGCCCAAAATATCTGCCTGCCTTGACAAAGGGACCAAGCAGTGAGAGGCTGCCATAATGCAACCCCTACAGTAGAGGGGGCAGGGCAGGGGGTGAGGAGTTGTCACAAGAGTTTGACCAGAGAGCATCTCCCTACATCATCTCTGAAGAACCCAACACCACATCCCATGAGAGCACAAGACGGGGTTCCAGATTCTAGCCACACCAATCAAGTGTTGCTCTGCCCCTTTTCTCCTCTGATTAACCTTGGCCTTGAAGGAGCCAGCAGAGAGGAATAGGCTCTGGGAGAGAGGGTGGATTGAAAAGAGTGAAAGACAAGATGCCTCTCCCTCCTGCACTTCAAGTCATTTTAAATTGGATATAATATTAGCTATACATGACCAAAAAGCTGTACAATCCTCCAAAACATGGCTGAAATCAGTGACAAAAGAAGGATAGTTTCTTTCTGTAATTCCCCATATCCAAGCACCCTAAGGAATTGGTACCACTATTAAAATTTTAAAGGCGCCCACTCTAGGATACAGAAACTCCACCAGTTCGTACCTAGAGAAATCCTTACACATGTAAACATGCAAGCAAGTACATGCCTTAATTGCAGCATCGTTTGTAGTCATAAAAACTAGAAACAAATGCCAATGGGAAATGATTAAATACAAATGCCAATTAATTGGGAAATGGTATATCCATGCAGTGGAGTACTATACAGCACTGAAAAGGGACAAGATCCACTCTATATGGTAACACAGGTCTCTTGACTGCATGGCTGAGTGAAAAAAGCATGTGGCGGAGAGATATGTAGAATAATATGACACAATCATGTGAAGTAGGACATCATTTATGCAGGAAAAGAATACAATATTATATCTTTTCTGAATATATATATATATAAACACAGAAAATCCTAGAAAACTATTCAGTAAACTGAAAACCAGGATTACTTTCATTGAGGGAGGAAAAGCAATCAGGATTAGGAGATATGGTCAAAGAGAACTTCACCCTCATCTGTGAGATGTTAAGTGCAGGCACACCTCCTTTTATTGCACTTTGCTTTACTGCACTTTGCAGATAGTGTATTTTTTTTACAAATTGGAGGTTTGCAGCAACCCTGACTTGAGCAAGTCTATGGCCTCCATTTTTGTTTTGTTTTTTTTCTTTCGAGACAGAGTCTCACTATGTCGCCCTCAGTAGAGTGTCATGGCATCACAGCTCACAGCAACCTCAAACTCTTGGTCTTAAGCAGTTCTCTTGCCTCAGCCTCCCAAGTAGCCAGGACCACAAGGCACCCACCACAACGCCCGGCTATTTTTTTGTTGCAGTTGTCATTATAGTTTAGCATGCCTGGGCCGGGTTCAAACCCCCCAGCCCTGGTGGATGTGGCCAGGGTCCTAATCACTGAGCTATAGGCGCCCAGCCTGGCCTCCATTTTTCCAACAGTATGTGTCTCTGTGTCACATTTTGGAAAATCTCACAATATTTCATACTTCTTGATTATCATCATATATGATATGGTGATCTGTGACTAATGATCTTTGATGTTACCACTGTAATTGTTTTGGGTATAACAAATCATGCCCATATAAGATGGTGAACTTAATTAATAAATGTTGTGCATGGCCTGACTGCTCCACTGACCAGCTGTTGCCCCATCTCCCGCCTTCCCCCCACTTGGGCCTCCATATTCCCTGAGACATAATATTGAAATTGGCTATTTAGTAACCCTGCAATGGCTTCTAAGTGTTCAGGTGAAAGGACGACTCACACCTCTCTCACCTTTAATCAAAAGCTAGAAATAATTAAGCTTAGTGAGGAAGGCATGTTGAAAGCTGAGACAGGCTGAAAGCTAGGCCTCTTGTGCCAGTTAGCCAAGTTGTGAATGCAAAGAAAAAGAGGAAAATAAAGTGCTTCTCTAGTGAATACACGAATAAGAAAGCAAAATGGCCTTTTTGCTGATATAGGGAACGTTTAAATGGTCTGGATAGATCAAAACAGCCACCACATGCCCTTAAGTCAAAGCCTATTCAGAACAAGGCCCTGACTCAGTTCCATGAAGGCTGAGAGAGGTGAGAGAGCTGCAGAAGAAAAGTTTGAAGCTGGCGGGGTGCCGTGGCTCACGCCTGTAATTCCAGCATTTGGGAGGCCGAAGCAGGTGGCTTGCCTGAGCTCACAGGTTCAAGACCATCCTGAACCAGAGCAAGACTTGCCCCCCCCCATCTCTATAAAGTAGCCAGGCATCGTGGCAGGCACCTGTAGTCCTAGCTGTTTAGGATGCTGAGGCAAGACGATCACTTGAACCCAAGAGTTTGAGGTTGCTGTGAGCTAAGACACCATGGCACTCTACCAAGGGTGACCATGTGAGACTCTGTCTCAAAAGAAAAAAAAGAGTTTGAAGCTAACAGAGGTTGCTTCATGAGGTTTAAGGAATGAAATTGTCTCCATTACATAAAAGTGCAAGGTGAGGCTGGGCATTGTGGCTCCCGCCTGTATGTATTCCTTGAACTTTGGGAGGCCAAGGCAGGAGGATCGCTGGAGACCAAGTGTTTGAGACTAGCCTGAGCAAAAGCAAGACCCTCTCTCTACAAAAAATAGAAAGACTGGTGGCACATGTTTATAGACCCAGATACTCAGGAGGCTGAGGCAGGAGGAGATCCCAGGAGTTTGATGTTACAGTGAGCTATGATCAGGCCAATGCACTCCAGTCTCAGACAGCAAGGCCCTGTCTCTAAAAATATATATAATGAAATAAAATTCAAAAACAAAGATTATGGGGGTTAAGACTAAAGGCTAAGAGGGCAATTAAAAGACTCTGCCTAACAGTATATCCTTAGTCTCTTCATGCAGATTTAATAAGGAAGGAGTCAGAATATAATAGTTTTTATTAATGGTATTGAGTTTAACAACCCAATAATCCTTTTATGTTATAGTTTTATTGCCTATCCTGAAAGAGCTTCTAAAATCAATCCTCTCTTCAATCTCCCAAAGCCAGGGCCTAGTCAAGCTTCCTCTAAGAGACACACCCAGAGGTGCTGCCCTCCCCTGCCAGATCTTTAGGACTTTCTCACCCCACCCACAACTTTCTTTCACTCTCTTAATCCCACATCCACCATCCACTCAGAAAACTCCCACACGGGTACCAGCTGCCAGGGGTCCCCAGGCCCTTTCACCCACCAGCAGCAGCACACCCAGCCTGTGAGAGTGAGGGCCCCAGGTCACTATCTTTCCTTAAAATAGAACGAGAGCAGCCACCAGTCCACCTACCTAAATCCTAAATCCTTAAAGGCCTTGCCCTCCAGGGAAGAGGGGCTCTCACTCTGGGTCTCAGTGATTACTTCACAGCCCAAGAAATAGCCCTTTGAGCTAAAACCAAAGAAAGTATTAACCAGCAAGTAATCAGGGAGGGGCCCATTCTGGGTGACCTAGTGGGGAGCCTTCTGTTCCCCACAAGCAGCAGGACCCCAAATGGGGCTAGCATCAGACTCTTTTCCTTGGTTGGCAACTTGAGGCATCTTCTCAAAGTTCAAGACACTCAGTAAACACATTCCAGAAGCAAAGGGAAATACATTGAGGGGTGGTGAATTCACCCAGCACAGGCTCTGGCAGGTTTTTTGTTTGCTTTTCCCTTCTGACAGGTCCATCTGTCAATGGAAGAATATGTATTATCTATGCCTCAATCTACCCTGAAAGTGACTAAACTGAGGGTGTGTGCTCTAGGTCAGCAGTTCTCCCAGGTGATCTCCCAGCAGCATTAGAATAACCTGGGAATGTGTTAGAAATGCTCATATTTTACCTGTCTCAGCCCTACTGGTTAGAGACTCAGCAATCTCTACCTTTAAAAGGTGGTTTTGATGCATGCTCAGGTGGGACCGAGGTCTCCAGGAGAGCAAGGCTGAAAGGCCCTCACCCTACACAGCTCTCAAGTTCCTCTTGCATCCTCCCCAAACCTGACCCCTTCCCTCCCACCCTCAACTTCAGTTTCTCACTGGAATTCTTCCAAGCCTCCCAGTTCACGGACTCAGATTTACTCACTGATCTGGCTTCAGATCTCCCTTCCCCATCAGTTTCATGTCCCAAACATCATCTCAATGCTCCCTCAGAAGTCCCCTGTCTATGCCAAGCCACCCACTTCTCAGAACTCTCCCTGACCTGCATCCCGAGCCCCCTTCCCTGTCTTCAGCCCTGGCAACTCTCCCCCCACCCGTCCCCCTCCAAGCCTGACAAAGGAGACCTAAGCCTCATGGGCAAGGACCCAGCGCCCAGCCCAGCGTGACTGGCTCAGGCCTCCTCGCGGTCAGGCCCCACGAGCAGTAGTGGCTGAGTGTTCTTGCCCTTATCGTGCCAGCACACGTCAAAAAAGGGGTACACCGGCCCAGGCAGGCGCTCATGGAAGGTAAACAGCAGCACCAGTGCGTCAGGGTCACTGGCGTTGTAGAAAGAGAGCACTCCGTCGCGGAAGCTTAGGTAGAGGCCTATGCGCGACGGCCTCTCGGGGGTGCGGAGTGCGAGTGGTTCCTTGGCCTCGACGTGCGCCTCCAGGGTCTTGCCGTCGCGCAGGCCGAGTAGCCAGAGCCCCTGTGAGGGCACCGCGTGCAGCCGGCCGCGGCGGGGGGCCTCGGCCGAGATCACTCCTAGCGTCCAACGCGGCTTGTTGCCCACCTCCACCTCCCAGTAGTGCTCGCCTTCGGAGAGCAGCTGGTGCGCCACCACCGCCACTGCCTTGTCAAACTGGCGCGGATCCTCTCTAGCTGGCGGCGCCTTCTGCTCCGAGCACTCCACGCGGCGGCCCGAGGCAGAAACGACCAGGCTCGGGTGCGCTGAGCTTGGGTCCAAAGTCAGCTCCTCCAGCGCTGCCAGAGAGACAAGGGTCAGGCCC